TGTGGAAGAAGTACGGAGCCATGCTGGATGGTACAAGGGCTGCATTCAGAAAGCAGGTGTGAACACAAGGGGAGATTTGGGGAGATACAAAACAATGGCAGATACATAAGTTATATCTAAAATGCCTACAAAGTCAGACTTCATTCAAGGAGCTTGGACTGCTCTCAGACAGCTTCCTCATTTGTTTGCTATGCCACTATTCTTCTATTCTACAAATACAGGGATGGTGACAGCTTCTCAATCATGCTCATTTATACTTCAGGGCTAAAAACTCACCTTTTCTTGTTTAGATTTGGCTATCATCTCTTCAATCAGTTCTTTCCTAGACTTAGGCTTTTCCTCTTCTTCATCTTGCTGCTCACTTGATACTTTTTTACGAAGGAGGCCTCCACCCCCTCCAAAGTGAGCAGCAGTTAATTCAGCTAGGGGAAAAAAAAGCAGGATGTTAATCATTCAAATCCACACAGGACTGCAAAACTGCTGCTGGGACAGTATCTCCCTATTCTCTGAGAATGGGAGCAATTTTGACTATTGAACCAATCAATCATGCATTAGTCTCATCCCTGTGAATGAGAATGGCCATACCAAAAGAGATGATGTCAGACACATAATTTACACTGACAGACTCTTGGGATGAGGTAGGATCATGGTTTTGCCCTGTATTTATCCAAAAGGGAGGTCTAAAGACGCAAGAAAGCAGCCAGAAAACTCACACTTTAGATTCTGGCCAAAGGGCTCAAAATCCAGGTACTTGTTTATGCTGAAAAGCTCACAGAGTAAAGAAGCCTGCCAGCCCCACTTAACCCCTGCTAAAACCCAGAGAACTGGTCTGTGTGTGACTAAGAAGTAATCAAATCTGGTTTACACATTCCAACCAAGAACATTCTCTCTCACTGAGAGACAGTACTGAACAAATGATGTACACATTTAGCAGTAATGAAATTACCAGTGAAACACCAGCTGGCACTTCTCACCTGAAAGTGTTCCTCTTTCTTCTGTGTCACTGTCACTATCAACAATATCATTTAGTTTTTCAATTTCTGCCAAAGATTGGCCATAGTGAGTCAATTCCTCATCTTCATTAAGATTATAGATATTCTTCTTTCCATAATTTTGCTAAGAACAGAAAAACAAACCAATGAAATATCAAAAGATCTTTAGTTCCCAAGCAACAAAATAACACAGCCTTTAGTTTCAGTGCTAGTTGAGGAGATTCTTATTCCAGAGTTTTGCTGGAATTTAACTGGAATAAGAGCACTGCCAGACCAGTATTTTCATTCAAATACATTTTAAGTGAGAGAGTGTCATGTCTCTCTCAGACTAATGTACAAATGGACTAACCCAAAAAACCTACAGAAGCTGAAGTTTTATCTGTGTATCAGTAACATCAATTTTTAACTACTGCACTTCAGGCCTAATGAAGCAGATTTCAACCTATAAAAATTACACTGCTTAATTCTGGAGACTGAGTATGATAGGGCAGAGAGGACAGTACTGCACATTCAATTCACAGTACAGAATGACAGCAAGTCACAGAGTTCTGCTCAGCTACTGAATATACTTGATGGTGACCACCTTTTCCTAATTTAACTCCTAAAACAAAGCAGTCAAAAAACCAACTAATCAATGAATCTGCTCATAATTAGCTTTTGTGCATGTCAGCGCTCAAAGAAACCCCTGCTTCAAACAGCTGTCTGGCAAAACCAAAAAGATTTAATGAAAAAATTTCTATTTCCACGAAAAATTCCTTTTTTGTTGGTTCTAAACCCATAAAATAAAAAATAAAGCATTACCCTGCAAAAGCCTCTATTAAGGGGGACTCCCAACTAAAAATTCAAGTGTGCCTTGTGGCTTTGTGTTTGGCTTTCTTTTGTTTGTGTTTTCCTTCTTTAAAATCATTTACCTGTCTTTCCAGAGTGAATCGCCTGATCATCTTTTCCTCAGGAGTGATTTTGGTGTTATATTCACCAAAACGTTTATCTTTGAACACATTTGTCTTTTCTCTTTCTTTATACTCCTTCAGTAATGTTTGATTGCGCTGGAAGGAAAAAGACAAAAGGAGATAAAATTCAAAGAACAGAGAGTAACTACTTCCAAAAGTAAAAGACTCCACAGTGAACATAACACTCTTTATATTGCCATCATATCGTAAATAATAATTTACCAGAATGCAATGAAAGAGAAGGAAAAATTAACATGAAGAAAAGATGGGAATCTCATACAATACATTCAGATTAAGTTCTCTGATAAGCACCCAAGGGAAGGTAAGATGTTACAGCATATCTCACCTTTATTTTATCACATTCAAAACCTGTGCATTTACACTGCAGAATTCTGACATGCCTCAAGCTTAGTAAACAAAGAATAACATATTAAAGAAAGCAAAAAAAGCCAGCAAAACTCAGCTGAACTTTTTTTGGTCATTTCATCTAAGACATAAAAGCCTCGAGTGGATCCACACACCTATCCCTGTGTCTCTGTTCAGTGTGGGGAAGTCAAGCATCAAGTCAGTAAAAAGAAGCTTATCACACACCTATACAAGGTACTTACTGTGTGCTCTACTTTTGGGACAGGTAAGGAGACAGGTTTACTTTCCAATGCATAATTAATGACAAATATCTGATTTATCTTATTATTAAATAAAACCCCAAATCCTAAAATGTTCATGCATTCATGAAGTTTTCTAAAATCTTGACTAATAGTAACAAAATCTGGAAGCTAATTTATAATTTCATGCTGAAGATATTATACAGTTTCTAAAGAAAAAAATGTTGGCTGTGTTTAGGCCAAGAAATATCCATTTTTATTTAAAACACATCAACTGATTCTTACAGAAAGATACTGTGCCATTCATATTACCAGAACCTCACAAAGTGCTGCACTAAAGGAAAAGGCTGGGTTTCCTACTCCTTCCTACTCTGCAGCCTCACTGAGCATTCACAATTTTCATATGCTGCTGTAAATGACAGTAAAACTCAGATTCCATCTAATATTGTGCCAGTTCTACCTTCTATTTACCTCTTACAGGGACCACTATACATATTTGTAATGTGCAATATGTACATATTTATAATGTATAATGTGTACATTATACATTAGTGTATAATGTTCATTTATACTGTCTCTATAGCTGAGACACTGTATATGAACATTAATATCTCTTAATAAGTTGGATATCAAAAAGCATTTCTGTGCTTTTTTTTTTGTACTCAATTATTTGATTACTTCTCCTATTGATAAAAAAGACAATACTTAATGCATTACCTTTCACAGTACACATAACATGATAAAATATCTCTTTGTTTTCACTGCATTTGCCCTTCCAGTAAGTGCTTTAAATTCTGTTCAACAACAGCATGCATGTAACATGTCAGAGAATCTCTGGGACATACTTTCAAACTGCCTTTTTTCAGCTTTAACTTAACCTTCTCTGCTGGTTTGTGCGAGGTGACAGACCACTAAGAAGTCCTGTGTTTCACCCAAGAATAAGGCAGGCTGCTAGAATCCCAGATGCATTTTATGACACACTCTCCCTTATGCATCACAGATTTTGGTCAGGTAGCTACTGATGGCAATAGAGAAAGAAAAAGAGGCATTCTGAAAATGGTACAAGGGTTGACGATAAAAAATTTACTCTTAAGTGGTATGGTCATTCTTATGACAGCAGGGAACAGATCATTACATCCCAACATAGTTCTACAACACGACTATTCAAGCTGTGCACAAAAAAATGACCTGCATTTACTTCCCCTATCAACAGTAGTTTCTTTGTAGCTACACATTTCTCACTGTATCCCGAACTCAGTGCTCTTTCAATATTTCACTGTTATACCACCATTACAACATTATCAAGAAGCTGAACATCCTAGAACGACCAGAACCGAGCAACGCCATGAACACTGACTCCGATCGAGTACTTACCGACAGACAACACGTGCCACTGTACTGTGGACGTGGGTAACTTGAGAAGAGAACCATTCCCACCAAGCAATAAGGCAGAGCCGTACTCCTGAGCCCTGGGGTTTGCACTGGCCAGAGCCATCCCCGAGCTCGGCATCACCCCTGAGCACTGAGAGGGGACCGGCCACTCCTGCTGCGACAACAGCGCTGGGCGCTCATTCCACCTGGGAGGGCTCCAGCCTTATCATCTGCCACATCAATGTACCATTCTCCCTCCGTGCTTTGCATGGCCTCTTACCTTCTTGATGGCCTTGGACCGTGAGACACCGGGCAGCCCCACATCATTTTTGGTCTTCCTCCCCAGGATGTCAAACTTCTGCCTGTTGACTTTCACCTCAAAGGGGTTGCTCTTGACCACGGCCATGGCCGACTTCACGGGGCCCTTTGCAGTGGAGGGCACTGACGTCTTTTTCTTCCGCTTCGTCGCCTTCCCCATCTCTGCTCCGGCTGCCCGTGGGGACGCGGGGGGAGGCAGCGGCTCTGCCCTCAGTATGCGGTGCCAAGACTGGAGGTGCAGACTGGGAGAGCAAAATGGCGCCGAGGGGTCGCAGAACCCCCCAAATTTCCCCTTGGCCTGATCCCGGCCCTCAGCCACAGCTCCGTGAGAGCCGGAGGGGAGAGGAGCGGAGGAGAGGAAGGAGAAGGAAGAAGAGAGAGCAGCACTGCCCCAGCGCGGCCCTCACCCCGCCATGCCCAGCACTACCACATGCGCACCGGCAGCTGGCCAACTCTCGCGAGAGCGCTGCCCTAGTACCGCGATATTTACCTCCCTGCTCCCCGCCCGCTTTGGGCTGAGCCGGGGAAGGTCTGACGTACTACATTTCCCAGCAGGCCTACGAGGCATCGCGCGAGCGTGTTCCCAGCGCACACCGCGCTCTGCCCGCTGGGACTTGCAGTCCCGGTGGCTGTGAGGGGGTGGCAGCGCAGGGGCGGTGCTGCCTGCGGCGGGCGGAGGAGCCATGGCCGGGGCGGGAGGGCGCTGCCTGCTCTCCGTCTCCGCCCTCGGGGAGGGGGAGCGCGGTGCCGGGGCGAGCAGCGGGTGATGGGGAAGAGGCGAGCGCAGTGCTGAGGTCCTCTTGGGCCGGATGAGCCGAGGCTTGGCGCCGCGGCGGTGGCGGGGCTGGAGGAGGGGGCGAAGGAGGCTGTAGGGGCGGCCCCCGCTCCGGCTGCCCTGAGGGGAAGGAGCCCCCGACCATGGAAATCGAGAACATCGTGGCCAACACGGTGCTGCTGAAAGCCCGGGAGGGTGAGAGCCGCGGGGCGAGGCGAAGAAGGAGGAGAAGCGGGAGTTCGAGGCGGGGAGGGCTGAGGACGTCTGTTGGGGGAGGAAAAGGGTCTGAGATGAGGGGTAAAGGGGCCCGCGAGGAGGGGGAGAGGAAGTGATGGAGGAGAAGAGGCTGGGAGGGAGGAGAGGCTGCCGGGCAGGGGGTCGGGGCGGGGCGGGGACCCCTCGGGGTGGCGGCGGGAGCCCTCCCGGGGCGGGCAGAGAGTCCCGGGCAGTGCCCCGAGGCACCTGCCCTGCTCCTCCCGCGGGATCTGCTCGGAGTTACCGGCTTGTGGCTTTGCTTCTGAAAAAACACCCCTTCCTCCTTCCCCCTTGGTTCTAATAGTGTTTTTACCGGATGTTTTAAAAAGATCGTTAATCTGTAAATTCTCGGTTTGTTTATAAATATAAATGCTTATGGATATAAACGATAAAGTGACATAAATCTTCTCTGGAAAAACGTTGCACTCCATCTTGCTGAAATTCCTGCCTGTGAAAAACGTAGCTGTTGAATGTGACCTGTACTCTGCAGTCGAATATTTTGTATTATCCTAATCCAAATGTGTGCTGTTTCCCATTAGATTAACACTTACAGTTTGACACCCCAGAACACCTTGAGCTGCGGATTCCTCCCCGCAGCTAACAAACGTTTTGTGTAGATAATTAGTTTTAGTATAGCACGTGGCTGCTGTTTGAAAAAACATCCTGACCTAAGATTGTCCTACTGCTCTTTCGTGTATATAACTGTCCATTAGATGGCCACTTGAATGTCTCCCTGGATTACCAATGTACTTTGTGCAGAGTATGTGTTTTCAGCTTTGAAATGTGCATATTCTTTTTGGATTGGATGGATCTTCCTTGTCTTAATTGTGTTGAGAAGTCCCATTAGTTAAGCTGGAGCTGTTTAAAGTGAGTAAGAGCAGCAGAATCTGCCTCTGTATGTTTTGCAAGTTCCTCCAACTCTAAATGGGTTTGGCACTTACGCCATATGTGTATCCAGTTAAATTTGCCTTAAGCAGCAAGAGAGGAAAATCAGCTTTTTCACTTTGAAGTGGGGTTTGAAAAACAGAACAGTGATCACAATTTTGGGCCATTTTCCAGCCTTAGCTGAAGAGACCACCTCAAACTAGAGGACATGTTTTGGCTGGTTTCAGTGACGGTAACATGTCTGTGGTGGTGCTGCCTGAATTTGGAATTTGCATTGAAGTCATCTGAGAAATGAAGGGAAAGTGGAATCTGGCTCAAAAACTTCACTGTGCCCAAACCCTCACCACAAAGAGCAGAGTGGTAATCTGCAGAGGCCTTCAAGTGGATGCTTAATGTCAGGCTGCCTCTTTAGTTAAGGTTTCACTATGTTTAAAATAAATTATAGTGGTAGAACTGACCAAACAAGATATTTTAATGAACTAAATGAAAGTCTGAGAGCAGCTGATGTGAAGATCAGTTTTACCTGCTGTGAAACTTTAAAAAGTAATGGTAATAATCTGTTACTCTCTTTGTACCTTCAATTGGCCTGGGCTCTGTTGTGTAAGCATGCACAGAAAAAGTGAATTCTGGCTTTGAAACTCTAGAACTCCATTGATCAATTGGTAGAAGGTCTTTTACCTTTTCAGGTCTCAACCCTGTGCATGGGATACTTTTTATGTCACATTTTTCAAAACCCTCCTTGAAAAGGAAGTATTTTCTGTCTGTTGCATGCTCTGGCTGCTCTGGGAATGTCTGGTTTACTCCATTTCATAAAATCCCTGCCCCAGCTCTGTTCTTATGTGCCTTCCATTGCCAGGCAATGGGATTTGTGAAGTCAGTGTGTGAGATAGGTGTTTTAATATATTCTTTGCTAAAAGGGCCTCACAACTGGGACAGAAGAGGAGACTTTCAGATTACTTTCCTTCCCACATTTCTATTATCACTCTCTATAGTGTATGGAGAGGTGGGATAGCATGGATAAGTGCACAATTATTTCTTGTGGAAGAAAGTAAATTCCAAAGCTACTGTACAATAGCAGCTTTACTTATTTTCATGTGTAGGCTTTAGCCATGTCAATAATCCTTCTCTGTGTAGGTGAGAGAAGGTGTTCACCTGGATAACAAATTAGTTGTACAAGCAAATAACATGTAAATGACTCTGCTCTTATTCTTTGTTTGTAGTGCATGTCAAAAGAAATCAGTGAGGCTTAATTGTGGCATGGGTCAGTCCAACTTGAGACTCTTTTCTGATGAAGATGAGAGTACTAAAAGGTTGTACCCTTGAATACATCTTTCAAAGTCTTTTAACCCCAGAGATATGTCATTTTCCTTTTGTAAATATAGAAACAATAAAAGATGTGTACCTATCCACTTCTGATTAGAGTATGACAGGTGCCTAATGGGAATGTAGAAATTCCCAATAAATAACACCAAATCTTACCTGAGCACATAAACTGGATTTGTACACATCATTTTCCTCTAATTTTAGGTACTCTAATACTTCTGGATGTGACTATCATTTGGGTTTTACATTTGTAGGTGTGCAGAATCAGCACACCTTGAACAGCAAGGTTCCTGTCTATCATTTAAATCTGATTTGATACATAGAAAGTAAATTTGTTGTCTCTATGTTATTAGAGAGCAAGGAACTCAGGCAAAATGAGTCTGTTCTTGTTACTTTCTTTTCTTATACAATAAAAAAGAAAGTGCTCTTGCTTTGTGTTTCTAGATTATCTACCTTCTCACTCAGTCTTACTGTTGGCTTATTTCATTAGAGGTGTGAATCTTCTAATTCAATTTGTGTGAGGATAACATCTGTTTATAGGAGTTTACTAATTCCATTACAGGTCATACAAAACCCCTAGCTTCCCTCCAGCCTCAGAAGTTTAAATTTTGTCTCTAAGAGGATGTTCAGAGCTTTTAATAACACACCATTTAATAGAAGAAGCCTGTCTCTTTCCATTAAAGATTTGTAATGTCTCTGTAGCAACTGCAACATCTCTTTATGATAATAAGGGAAGCCATCAGGATTCCTTATCCTCTTTTCAAGTCACTTGGTAAATAATCAAATGCCAGTTCTTTGTACCTGTGGGTGTTAATGATAACATAATGTGTGATTCTTGAATGTGCCTACAACTAGAAGATGCTATGATGGCACAAAGTACCCCTTGGTACTCCATGGATGAAAGATTTAGGAGTTGGGAGCTGTACTGGGAGTTTTTCTTTCCTTGTTCAGTTTTTCAGTTGACCTGCTTCTGTCCCTGGAGGAAATGCCTTCAGACAGAAGCTGCAGTGCAAGGTGTTTTGGGATTCCCTGTCCCAGTTGCCTGGGGGGTTGCCTGAGAGTTGTGGCCCTCTGTGTCGATCCTGCTCTTTCCTCTTGTGATACATTACTTTTTGAGAGAAACCTGTATGTGGGAAGGAAAAAGGGGAAAGCTTCCTCTTAAGGTGACCCCAATGGTGAAACAAGCACTTACTGCTGAGGTGACTCAGTAGGAAAACAAGAGATTCTAAAGCAAACTCAAACTCGATCTTAGGAGTGCTGAAGTGCAGGGACTGAGGTACAAAACCACATAAGTATTTAGTGATAGTGATGTATGAACTGAGATTGCAAGCTTTCACACCAGGCAGTCCCTGTTCTCCTTACTCAGGTTTGTGTGAAAGAGTAGTGTACAACAATATGCTTTCTAGTTGTGTATCAGAACAGAGAAATTAACACATTCGTTTTTTTCCCAGCAGAATAATATTTGAAATTAGTTTCACTTGAAGGACATTGAAGAATTTGTCCCATAAATGGAGAGAAATAATAAATATAAACAAGGTTATTCTGAAAAACAACAGTTCCACCCCCAATTTTTATTTTATGTTCACTTTTCTCTTTATATTTATATCTTCTGTTTTTATTTCAGTCAGTCTCAGTAAATCCTTTGAGTAAGTCCTGAATTCATTTCAGCATCCCACACATAGTCTGTGATGTTGGGAAGGAAAGAAATTAATCCCTGTATGTTTTAAACTCCTTAGGAGTCTTTCTTTTTTCATTGCCTAAAGTAATAGTATCAAAAAAATACACCCAGAGGGTGGATGCATCGTTCTTTGAAGTCAGTGGCAGTGTACCTCAGGTGAGGATCTATGCCAAGAGTACATTTTAAACATACCTGGTCCATTTGCATCCCCTTTAAAATTCATTTGTATTACTGTGGCAGGAGCAGTTTGGGAATGAGAACTGGGTCTGCTGTTAGGCACAGAAAATCCTCTGACATTATCATGGATTTTGGCTAAATTAAGGTCATGCCTCAAATAAATTTCCCCCCAGCTCTTGGTTTGTATGGTTGTAGCCCGTGGTTGCAGAATGGCTGAGGCAGTTGCCAGCTGGATCCATGAACCAATCTAGGGTATGTGGGTTTTTGAGGTGGTTTTTTCCTTATGTTGCTGGGTTTTGGGTTTGGGGTTTTCTTCCCAAAGTTGGTTTTCAGAGGAATCAGTAAGCTCCTGCAGATTTGATAATTACTAGGTGCAGTCCAAGGATGGATTTAGAAGGAAGGAACTTTTCAGTAGCAGAATGTGGTCACAGTTTGTCTTATATGAATCCTGTAAGATACTTGTTTCAGAATAATTATCTTAATGATGTATTCTTCACAGAAAATGAGCAGTCCACTCAAATAGTGAGCTTTATCTGTCTGGGCTTGAAAGCAATTGAAATCATTCTGGAAGCAAAATAAATCCTAATTTTGCCTGCAGTATAAGGTAATATTTCAGTACAGTGTTGATGATACAAGGAAGGTATCCTATTTTGTGTGTGTTTGTAACCAGGAAGATAATTCTATGGAGATTGCTCAGATCAGTTTGGTATTGAGCTGAACTGAATTCTTTAATTATTTCAGGGGTAGGACAAGTGGGAAAGCAAAGCACACTCATGCCCAGAAAGTCCACCAGCAGCAAATACAAATTTTAACATGAGGGTGCTGAGAGTTTTTGTAGTTGCCTTTAATTGTTGTCAGTTCTTCCCTCATTTGCCTC